GGGTATACAGATGAATGTCCATTTTGTATCTGTGTATTCAAAGTGGTTAGGATAGATATATAGTTACATTCTGTTAATGAATAGAATGATTTGTTCTAGTGGTGTTTGTAAATAGAATATCAAGTCCCCATCTTGTAAAGCAATTAACCACTAAGAGGAATGTAGGCAGTGTGTTAGTTATTGAAACTGTCCTAGTGATTTGATTTGAAACTGTCTCATTGCTATTTGTTTATCAATAAAATTTTGAAAACAAACAAACAAAAAACAAAGTGGTTAGGATCAATATATAGTTACATTCTCTTGATGAATAGAGTGATTTGTTCTAATGGTGTTTGTAAATAAGATATCATGTCTGCATCTTATACAGCAGCTAACCACTAGGAAGAATGTGTGCAATGTGTTAATTATTGAAACTGTCCTACCAATTTGATTTGAAACTGTCTCATTGCTATTGGTTTATCAGTAAAATTATGGGAAAAAAACTGGAAAAAAACAAATAAAATGTGTTTCATGAGTATGTACTTGTAAAATAATATTAAAATTATCTTCTATAAAGGTAGTGGTTATGTATTATCTATCACTGTGAAAAAACTCCCAAGATTGTAAATTTTAAGAGAAAGGTTTATTTAGCTTAGCTTTTTTTTTTTTTTTTTTTTTCCTTGCAGAACCAAGGATTGAACTCAGGCCCTGGTGCTTGCCAGGCAAGCACTTATTCTATTGAGCTATCTCCCTAGCCCTAAGAGAAAGGTTTATTTAGGCTCCCAGCGGCAGGGGTCTCAGTCTGTGGCCAGCTGGCTGTGTTGTGAGGGTTTGGGACAAAGAAAAGTCATGGCAGGTTGCCTGCTGCAGAGAAAACTACTCGTGGCGATCAGATGGCAAAGAGAAAGCCCAAGGGATGGGATTCCAGAATCTCCTTCGGTATACCCTGGTGATCTAACTTCCTTCCACTAGGCTCTCCCTCCTTCAAATTCCACCACTACCTCATAGTGCCGCTGGGTAGGGGCAAACCTGACGGGAGCCTTGGGGGCTGTTGAGAATCTGAGCCATAGCTGAGGTGATACATCATTTCATTTGTTTATTACATTTGTTTAATAATTTTTCACATTATTCAGACAGGTGATTGGACATGGTTGAAAGAGTTTTACCAGAGATTGATAGATCAGAAGTGGCAAAGGAAGAAGAAGAGCAAGGAGCACTGGTATCAGAAGGCTATTCTTTCCAAGTTTTTATATTACAGGTACTTGGCTACTTGTTTATGCTTCTCTTAGGAAGAAAAATATATTGGTAAAATTAAGTTTTGCCAGTGATATTAACACTGTTGTGGTTGGGTTTGCAAGGGAAACAATTTATTATGGAGCATATAATTTATAGGATTATTTTACAATATTCATCCAAATACTGAAATGCAAATGAGCATGGGAAATCTGTCCACACACTAAAGACCCAAAGAATCCAGCTGAGGGCCTGGGTCCAATAGCCATATCCTGCATGAGTCCAGCTGAAGACCTAGAGCCCATGACAGTGTCCTCTGAGTCCGACTGGAGGCTTAGATAGAGCCCAGGACACTATCTCATATAAGTCTGTTTCAAGGCTCTGCCCTAGGAAGGCCCAAAGGTGAGCGATAGAAGCTAGAAAGTCTGCACCTGTGCAATGAAGGCTCTGTGGCAGCAGGCCCAGGCATCTGCTCTGGAGCCAGGAAGTGATGCTCAAAGTAGCAGAGCTCTCCCACAAGCACTCTAGGCATCCTTAGCAATAGTAAGGTCCTGACCTCCTCCAGTGAGACTAGCCAAGTTCGTACCAGGAAAGCAAGCATGACAAGCTTCTTCAAGAGATGCAGTAACCCACCTCTTCCTCCCCAGTTCTTTCTCCTTTTATGCTGTTGCCAACAAGCATCAGGTGGACTCTTTATACCCAGCACCATGCTGATTGGGTTTATCTGGGTGTTACAAGTTAACCACCAGTTGTCAGTTCACTACAAACATGTTTTTCTTGTTTTATTCCTGTTTGACAAATTCAATACTTGATTATAGTGTCTTAGTTTTTACCAATAGGTACACTGTAATGTGATGTTAACTTTAGTAATAGTGTGATTTTTAAAAAAATTTCTTACCCAGTGTCAATGGTGATGGAGCTGCCCAGCCTGTCCCCTCTGCTGCAGAACAGCAGGAGTCACCCAGTTTGGATGAGACACATGATTCAGAAAGGGTTTCATGGCCTGCACCCTTTGAAATGGCTTCCTCTGTTTCTGAAGACCCCAGTGCTTCTGGTCAGGTTCGTTAGTACTTGAATAATAACTCTGTAAACTCACTTAGGAAGGCAGAACCAGCTATTTTATTAAAAAGACAGAAAAATAAAAATAAAACTACTGACTTGTGTATCACAATTAGAGAAATAGTTTTTTTCAGTGTTTTATGGTAGAATTTACAAGAGCTATTTTGAATGACTAAATCAGGTTTATTATTTCACTTAAAACATTTTAAGTGGTGCATGCCTGTAATCCCAGCACTCAGGGCGAGGCAGGAGGATCTTTGTTAATTTGAAACCAGTGTGGGCTACAAAGTGAGCTCAAGGACAGCCTGAATTGTATAGTGAGACCCTGTCTGAAAAAGACAAACATTTTAAAGTAGACTATTGGTTTATCTATCAATGCTGATTTTCTTCATAAAGCAATAAGAGCATCATATAGCTTCATTTGATAAAATACATTTTTCACTTTAGACTTGTAACAGGTATCTATCAAATATTGAAGACGATAGGACTTTTCATAGTTTAAAAACTGTTTCACTGTAAGTTCATCATATTGCTAAGCCTAAAAATCTTAATATTTTCTAGTTGAGGTTCTTGCATCTTAGCCCATATTTATAGTATGAAACTTTTAGAATATATTGGGTTTTCTGTCATGTCTTGACTTTTTATTGCTTTTTTTCCCTCATTATGTCTATCAAAGAATAATATAACTCCTCACATATAAATTGTTGGGTGTATACATTCAGAAAAATATATTGATAAACCTAAAAGAAAATAAAAATAAGATCAATAACTCACTGAATTGTTTTTCTTCTTTGTGTGTATTCTTATATAATAAACACTATTCTACTAGATTGTTTCTGTCTTCTCAGATTATAGAATTGAGGAGTGCATGCATTTTACTTGACTTTAGCTTTAATAGGTTTAAAAATAAAATTTGGCTAAAACTACAGAGTGAATTTAATTTTTTTACCATAGTGAGGAAAGTTTAACCAAGTGGTGGCAATGTTCCATGTCATGATTTGGAGACTAATTATGTGGTAACTTGTTTAACAATGTAGGGGCAGCCGGCATAAATCAGCGATAGAACACTTGCCTGGTATATATGAGGTCTTAGAGTCAATCACCAGCATCACAAGAAAAATATCTAAATTGCAATTAATTATTCTGTTACTAATTCTATTAATGTTAATAATTTTATTGTTTTATGTACATTATTTTATGATTATATGCCAGCAAAAAGTTTTTTAAAAATTCACTCAGTGTTGCTTACCTTCAAAGGTCGTACCTGATAAAAGAGCCACAGAATAGAAATAGTCCTCTGCTGCTGCCCATCGTGCCCTTCTCTCAGCTTCATATTTGTCCCCTTTCCCTGCTTAGAAGTTGCTGTGAAAGATCTTAGACACTAGAGAATCAGTAAACACACACGTGTGCAGGAAGCAGAATGGCATTTATTTAATGCCTCTTGTGCTCAGCACTTTGATATACATGTTTGTGTGAATTTATTTTCCTGCCTGGAGCTCCACGTGGAATAAGTGTTGAACTGAAGCCTGAAAAGCAGATGTTTTTCTGTGGTCAAACAACTTGTGTAGTCCAAGATAGGGTTTATGTATTTATTTTTTATTTTTTATTATTTTATTGAGAAACAAATAGCAATGAGACAGTTTCAAAACTGATTAATAGGACAGTTTCAATAATTAATACATCGTACATTGTTATCTTCTTAGTGGTTATCCATAGTACAAGATGCAGACAGGATATCTTGACCAAACACTATTAGTACAAATCATTCTTCTCATTGAATTAAGTGAAAGTAGCTGTATATCTATCCTAACTATTCTGAATATACAGATACAAAATGGTCCTTCCTTTGTATCCCCTTTTTTTTGGTTTAGTCCTGTCAGAGATGGGTATCCCATTAGCGTCTAAATACTATAGGTACGTGAATTAGGCAAAACAGTCCAACACAGTCCAGCAGTTCACAACAGTAGTGGGTATCTGCAGAAGTTGCTGACTTGAGCCTTTCACAGCTCAGCGTATTAATATGGCTTTACTTTATATACCAAGTTTTTATACTTTTCTGCTGGATGGTTAAGACAAAGATAAAGCAAGACCTATATGACAAGAAATGCAACTTTTGTATGAGATAAGAATCTTTTTTTTTAACTGTGGATTGAACTCAGGCCCTTGCACTTGCTAGGGAAGCACTTGTTCTACTGAGCTATCTCCCCAGCCCCAAGATAGGGTTTAAATGCAACTCTTTCTGACCTCAGTCCTGTTCCCGCTGCAGTAATTGACTCTGTCCATTTACTCCATACACACTGAGGAAGGCCCTGGAAGCAGTCAGCATCTTGGCAGTGGCAAGCCCATACACAGGTAGTTGGATAAAAGTAGTATTTTACAAAATGTCTTGTACTGCTACAATTTCCACATTAAAAAATTTATTTACATTTGCAGGCTATGACCTCATCGATTTTTGTTCCCCAGACTAAAACTGCCAGGTTGAGCCCTTTGTAAGCAGTAGTAGAGGTCACACAAGTGTCTGTGGGACCTTGGAGCCAAATGATCTGTGAGAACATTGTAACCCACAGCCTGCACTCCTCCCAAAGGAGTTTTTTGGCAAGTAATTTTGGGAAGTGGCCCTTAAGTTGATCATTTGTCTTCAAGTACAGACAACAAAATAAAGTTTGAAGTTCTGTTAGGGCTCCGGATGGAGAAAGCAAGACACAGTAGATATGTTGAAGATATCCTGGCTTGAAATTATGTGCATTTGTAGGTAGACCCAAGCCTGCTGGCAGAGGCGCAGAAGAGGAGAGACAAGATTGTATAGAATAAGCAGCATACACACATGTTGATCTTGGGATCAAGCAGAAAATTGGCATTAAAGGCTGCAGGTAGTATGTATGGATGGCAAATTGCATTTTAGACTGAGTTTACCACAGCGAAGTCTTTTCCCGAAATTAACTCTACCGAATATATTAAAACCAAAAAGTGTTCTGAAGCTAAGTTCAGGAAACCCTAGGTTGTATAAAAATGAAGTAGATTTTTTTCTTATAAGACCCTGAGAGGATGTTAGTTTTTGTTTTTTTGAAGGAAGGGGGCAACAGTAGACATTGTTACTCTACAAAGCAAGGACAGTAGTAAGCAGCATTTTTCCCATCATAACTGCAGAGGTTTCCCTAGCTTTCAGGGATCTTAGCTGCTGTAGAAACCGCATTCGGACACACTAAACTGAAGACCACTGTTAGAATGATGTTTCAAACTTTGGCTGAGTTGCTGAGGAATTTTTCAGTTTAGAAGACATGGGGGGGCTGGTGAGATGGCTCAGTGGTCTAAAGCACCTACTTAGAACAAGGTGAGCAAAGTACAGGGACTGTGGTTCAATCCCCAGCACCACATGCCAGTCAGCCCTGCCCCCTGGTGGGCTGAGCTGGCCACACACACACACACACACACACACACACACACACACACACACACAAAAAAAAAAAGACATGGGGTGGGCTTACAGAGCAATGGTGGTGACATGTACCAGTGGATGAGAAAATGAGACTTAGGGATTTTGTAAGCTCCTTCCTCTGTCCCATTTGAGTAAGATCTAAATATGATTACCTTCATGAGGCTGTGATAATTGGGCACTAATGCAAGCAGTAAGTGATGAATGCTGTGATTTCAACAGCACGAGCTTGATTCACAAAGGTAGATCCAGGTGTGGGCTTTGATGCTTAGGTGTTGCTGTTTTAAAGCAGATCAGTTTTAAGCAGTGTTGGCAGCAGAATCACCGTTATCCTTGCAGTTTTCACAGGAACATGAGCGCCTTGAGCCCTCATACATAGTGGGGCACATGGCCTCAGCACCCAAAGAACAAAGCCTGAGTAATTTGTTCAGTGATGGGGAGAACAGCCAGGTATGCTTTCAATATGATCAAGTTAAAATACATAGTTGCTGGTCATCTTTTTTTTTTTTTCCGGAACCAGGGATTGAACTCAGGCCCTTGCGCTTGCTAGGGAAGTGCTTATTCCACTGAGCTATCTCCCTGGCCCATCTTTTAAAACCTAGTCTCAACTGGAATATAAGGACAAAATCCACTTGATTCTGCCAATTAACACTCTGACTTTATCCTGTCTGTTTTCCTTTTTTTTTTTTTTTTGGTCTTTCTTTGGGGCAAATTGTAGTTCTGCTGTTTGTTATAATTTTTCTCCCTTTAAACTAAAGGGCCTTAAAAATGATGTTGTTCAGAATATTCTGTGGACATTTGAAGATATCCGTAAGCTGGTTGGATCAAACATGCCTATTTTTGGTCGAGGCAGATACCCAGCAGTCAGCTTACGTCTCAGGTAAGCCAACATCTTGTGCTGTGGTCTCCCTCATGTTAATGTTTAAATACTTCAGCATTAGTGTGCATCTGTTGCTCCCTATCTTTTGGGGCATCCTCTTCTTTTTCTGGATTGTTTTCACTTCTCCACTTCCTTTGCTGTGGCAATGAGCACAGTAAGGCAGGGCCTGCCTGCTATCAGCGAATGCTGACACCCCTGTAGCTAATTGCTCATTCCAGACCTAACTGGACAGACCTCTGAAATCTGTTGTACTTGCCTCCTTTTGGGTTTGAACCTATAGCTTATGAGGTTACAGGAAAATATATTTGATTAATTTAAGAGGTGGGGGGCCGGGGAGATGGCTCAGTAGGATAAGCGCTTGACTGGCAAACGCAAGGATCTGAGTTCAATCCCGGTTCCACCAAAAAAAAAAAAAAAAAATTTAAGAGGTGGTTTGACAGCTTACTGTTAACTGGTTGTGAGCATTTTTCTTAATGATGCATGTGTATTTGTTTCCCTAACCCAGTGTGAGTTCAGTGTGACATTAGGTACAGTGCTCCGTCTTTTCTCAGGTTGTGTGAGGAGCACGCAGGAGACTCAAGTCATGTACTATATTTCCTTCTACTCTTACTAAAAACTTTGTAATACCAGTGAAAAATGCCAAGCTTTGGGGACAGTGTTAGGTATAACAAAAATATTGAGCTGTATATAGATGTCCTCAGTCAAGAAAGCACATATGGTGTTTCCATCAATGGAGAATAGAGCAAACGCACTTAAATGGGAAAATAAGCGTCAAGTGATGTATTTTTATTTTATTTATTTATTTTTTTCATAATTGTTTTGAGAAACAAATAGCAATGAGACAGTTTCAAATCAAATTGGTAGGACAGTTTCAATAATTCACACATTGCATACATTCTTCTTAATGGTTAATTGCTGTACAAGATGCCGACATGATATCCTATTTACAAACACCATTAGAACAAATCCAATCCCTCTATTCATTAAGAGAATGTAACTATATACCTATCCTAACCACTTTGAATACATAGATACAAAATGGACATTCATCTGTATACTCTTTTTTTGTTTCATTATTTGAATATTATAGGTGTGTAAACTCAGCAAAATATTCTAAAAGAGTCCAGTAGCCCACAATAGTATTGGGTCTTCTGCTTGACTGGCAATGTCAGAAATTGTTGACCTGAGTCCCCTATAGCTCAACATAATAGCATGGCTTTATTTCTTATATTTCATTTTTATACTTTTCTGCTGGATGGTTAAGACCAAGGTAAAGCAGGACCTATGCAACAAGAGTTGTAACTTTTGGGTCTGATAAGGTCAGTGAAATCCCCTCAGGATTTATGATGAGATCCTGTACCTCAGACTGTAGAACCTTTGTCAGTGTCAGCCATGTGGATGAGTCACGGCCATTGCCTGGCCAATGTGCTCTCTGTGAAAGCCTGAAATGATATTTTTTTTTTAATTTTTTTTTAATTTTTTTATTTATTTATTTTTAATTATTTATTTATTTTGTGTGTGTGTGTGTGTGTGTGTGTGGCCAGCTCAGCCCACCAGGGGGCAGGGCTGGCCGGCATGTGGTGCTGGGGGATTGAACCGTGGTCCCTGTGCTTAGCTTAGCTTAGTTTAGCTTGTTCTAAGTAGGTGCTTTAGACCACTGAGCCATCTCGCCAGCCCCTGAAATGATATATTTTTAAACATCTTAATTTGTAGCAGAATCTGTTCCTCCCCATTATGCTCGGTACCCTTGCTTCTTAGTTGCCCAGGTCATAGTTCCTGTTCCAGTTTCAGTGCTCCTGTCTCTTAGAAACTGCTGGGCACTGTGATACACATTGTAGAACCCCGTCTCCAGTTGAAAGCCATTCTGCCTCTGTACTTCCTGCTTGCTTGTCCCATATAAGCCTAGACCATGAGAGATCAGGGCCTGATATTCTGGGAATGATCCTGAGTAGAGTTCATCATTGTACATAACTTTGCCTCCAAGTCCTGGGTGTCACTTATTGTTTCTGCTTGCCATTGAAAACTAAATCTGCAGGGGAGAAGGGTCAGTAGAATTAGCACTTGCCTGGCAAGCGCAAGGGCCTGAATTCAATATCCGGTTCCACCAAAAAAAAGAAAACTAAATCAAGTAACACTAGGAATTTGCATTTTTAGGTATAACAACAAGCCAATCAGTGTGCTCACTGGAATTGACTATTGGTTGCACAACTTGATATACTATGTACCAGAGCTTGTGATGTGTTTTCATATAAATGCAGTTGTACAGGTAAGATGCAGAGTGACTTTGCTAATATTTTCTTGAAAGCTAATTTTTGTAGAGTATGTCATGAAATCCCTTGAATGCTAAAGTGTATTTTTCATAAGAAAGATAGAAGTGAAAAAACTAAAATATGAGTGTTTTTCCATTTAAGTTGGTTTTAGCAAAATTCTGGAAGTTATAGGAGTATAATTTTACAGATAAGTTTTGGGATGCTTATAAATACAATGATACCTTAGTTCACAAATTTAATTTTTTCTACAATTTTAGAAAAGATGGCCAGTTTTCTGTTATGTGGATCAGATGACCAAGATTGTGTTTGTCACCTGATGCAGTTTGAAAAAAAACAAAAATAAAAACAAAAACAGAACCTTGCCAAACACTTTTGTTGTGAACCAAATTGTTTGTATACAGAAGTGCTCTTGAACCAAGGTACTGCTATATACTAAGACATATGTTTGTAACTGTAGAACTCTACTGTTCATGCCAAGTATGCACAATAGTTAAGTGAAACTATCTATACAGTGAATGCTTTTTCATTTTACACTATTGTGGATTTGCAGGATTTTTTTTTTAAGACCACTGTGAGAGTAGGACAATAGGAACTGATTCTTCCTGAGTACATTCTGTTTAGGAGCATTTCATTCCCATGACAATATTAGAGGGAAACAGAATACATCTGGTTACTACTCAGATGTAATCAAGTGGAAAGTAATAATGTGCAGTGAAAACTTTACGAGACAGGAAGTATTACACGTGTTGTACTCACATGGGTCTGGATACTGGAAGGCTGAGATCACTCTGTGTTGGCCAGGACAGAAGACTTCATGGAAGAAGTGGGTTATTTTCATACTTGAGTGATAGTTAGTGTCTCAAAAAATTAGAGCTACTACCCTTTAAAAGACACATCTCCATAAAGGAAAGCAGTGATAATATATGCCATTAGCCAACACAGGACTAAATAACCAAATTCAGATAATAGGAAAATCCATGGCCCAATGATGGGGAGTATTGAAGAGTTTGTACTTGCTGGGCATGATAGTGTGCACTGGTAACCACAGCCTATGGCAGGGATTACAGCTTGAGGACAACCTTGGCTCCATAGTAAGTTCAAGGCCAGCCTGACTGCATAGAGACCCCCTGTCTCAGATGAGTTTGTACTTGCTTTAGTTGGAATCCAGGAAGACTTTGCCTCTGGAAGGAAATACATTGTATTAGAACATTAATTTGGAGGTAACTTATAGAATAGGCAGGGAGGCCTAGGAGACAGGAAGGGGTTTTCAAATATTGTACTGTTTTTGTGAATAGTGTAAGGTACTTGTACTACAGAGGAGACATGAAGACTCAACAGTGGTAATAATATCTGGCACTCGTTGTGGACGCATTTGGTTGTAGATACTTTACCCAGTGCTTCATGTGGGTTACCTTACTGATCTTTTTAGTTATTACATGTACTGTTACTCTCACTTGATAATGTGGGAAATGGAGGATCAGGAAGCCAAGTGAGTTGCCCAGTCTGTGGCTAATAGGTGCTGCTGCCAGTGTTTGAGTGTATTTGCTGGATTTGATGATAACCCACTGATTTTCAACCTAAACTATTATTCACAATCACTTGAGGTATCTTAAAAAGTTTACTTCTTTATATATATCTATATCTATATTTATGTACAGATAGATAGATATAGATACATAGTATATCTATATGTATATGGCTGACAGTGTGCCAGGATCAGTAGGATCCATATCTCTTTGTATACGTACTGTGACATCATCACCGTTTAAGTGGCACCATGTAGGGAGAGGCTTGTGGGGGAGCCAGGAAAGAGGAGAGAAGCAAGTCCAGTGTTTGTGAGGTGCAAGGGAGGAAGACCTGATGGAATCCCAGGGTTTTGGGACCAGAGTAACAGCCATATCACTTGCTGAGACAGGGCCACTTAATTGATTTAGACAGGAAGTTATATGTTTCCATGACATACTCAGGTTGAGGACATGATAAAAATGTCCAGTGAGCATTGTGATGGTGCAGCAATTAGAAAAGAAAGTCTAGAGAAAAAATTAAAGCGCCATCTTCCTAGGGACTAATAGATTTCATCACCAAGGATTTATTACAATCACACATCAGAGCCTTTCCCTACAAGGGTAGGAGGATGGGTCATTGAGAGATGAGAACCAGAACAGTGCAGTGTGAAAAGTGGGAAAGAAGTGTTTTAAGGGAGTGAATAACAAAAGTGAAAACTGGAGATGAACTAAGAAGGATAAAAACCGACCTTGGACAACTGTTTGGTGTTATGTTCTGATTGATTTTGGAGTTTCAGGTCATACAGCACTTCAGAAAATGTGGTAAGAGGCATTGAGGAAGGTCTGCACAGAAGACAAGCTGGAAAAAATATTGATGCACTTTAAAAATAGCAATAATGCCAGCTGTGCAGTCTTTACTCTTGTTGCCATTGCCACTTCCACCCGCTGTGCTCCATCCCTGCAAAGAAAGAGTCCACAGCTTAATGAAGGAAAATGTCTACTAGGAAAACATCCCAAGTGATAATCTTCTCTCAAGCCACTGACTCTAGTATTAGGGGAAAGAGTAAGCCAGAAGTTCATGGTTTTTAAAGTTCTGCCTTCATTTACCATCTTCCCAGTCAAAATCCATCCAATCAGATGGAAAAGAAGTGTTGTTGAGTACCTTCTGTGCTGTGGTGCAGCAGAAATGTGATCATGCCTTGACCCGAGGCTGTGTGTCTAGGAGTGACTCTTGGGAGTGACTAGTAGGGAGCCACCATTGCAGGTGGGGTGGGTCAGCTCCCTTTGATGTGGGAGCAGGAAGATTCAAACCTCCTTTTAAACTCTCCCATGTGGCATAAGCTTTTATTTTATAGGATTTATATCCTGTATTTGGCCTCTTTTTTCTTTTTGTATTTTGGGGAAGGGTCTACGGGGTGTTCAGGCTCTCACTACTAGATCGGACTCATAGTGATCCACCTGTTTACTGCCTCTCAAGGGCTGGATTTACAAGCCCAAGCCACCACACCCAGTCTCAATCACCGTCTCAGTGTGCTCCAAGGGGGCGTGGTGGCACCGCAAGCACGGGGTTCGGATCGAACCCTGTCCCTGAGCCTACTTTCAGGTACTTTAATCCGCTGAGCTATTTGGCTGGCTCTTTGGCTTCTTTTTAATAAGAAAGATATTACTGGGAAACCCCGTGTCTGCGGAGCGGCTGTAGCCTGTGAGCAGCGAGATCCAGGGACAGAGTCTCAGCCTCGCCGCCACCATCCAGAGACCGCTGTGCCCGTCCGTCCGCCGCCACCCACCTGAGACACAGAACATCCAGGCATGGATAAAAATGAGCTGGTGCAGAAAGCCAAACTGGCCGAGCAGGCTGAGCGATATAATGACATGGCAGCCTGCATGAAGTCTGTAACTGGGCAAGGCGCTGAATTATCTAATGAGGAGAGAAACCTTCTCTCTGTTGCTTATAAAAATGTTGTAGGAGCCCGTAGGTCATCTTGGAGGGTTGCCTCAAGTATCGAGCAAAAGACGAAGGTGCTGAGAAAAAGCAGCAGATGGCTTGAGAATACAGAGAGAAAATTGAGACTGAGCTAAAGGATATCTGCAATGATGTACTGTCTCTTTTGGAAAAGTTCTTGATCCCCAATGCTTCACAAGCGGAGAGCAAAGTCTTTTATTTGAAAATGAAGGGAGACTACTAGGGTTCCTTGGCCGAGGTTGCTGCTGGTGGTGATAAGAAAGGGACTGTGGGTCAGTCACAACAAGCATACCAAGAAGCTTTTGAAATCAGCAAAAAGGAAATGCAACCAACGCACCCTATCAGATTGGGTCTGGCCCTTAACTTCTCTGTGTTCTATTATGAGATTCTGAACTCTCCAGAGAAAGCCTGTTCTCTGGCAAAGACAGCTTTTGATGAAGCCATGGCTGAACTTGATACATTAAGTGAAGAATCATACAAGGACAGCACGCTAATTATGCAATTACTGAGAGACAACTTGACATTGTGGACATCGGATGCCCAAGGAGATGAAGCTGAAGCAGGAGAAGGAGGGGAAAATTAACTGGCCTTCTGACTTTTGTCTGCCTCATTCTAAAATTTACACAGTAGACCATTTGTCATTCATGCTGTCCCACAAATAGTTTTTTGTTTACGGTTTATGACAGGTTTATGTTACTTCTATTTGAATTTCTATATTTCCCATGTGGTTTTATGTTTAATATTAGGGCAGTAGAGCCAGTTAATATTTAGGGAGTTGCCTGTTTTCATCTTGAGATGGCCAATATGGGGAAGTGGAATTTTTATACAAGTTACAATTGTTCGGCATAGTACTTTTGGTACATTGTGGCTTCATAAGGGCCAGTGTTAAAACTGCTTCCATGTCTAAGCAAAGAAAACTGCCTACGTATTGGTTTGTCGTGGTGGGGAGTAAAAGGGATCATTGGTTCCAGACACAGGTATACTTATGGTGGGTACTTTAAGGCCTGGAGCACCTCCGAGGCTGGGGCAAAGACAGACACCCCGCGGGTCCTCCAGACATGGAGCCCGTGTGCGGGGAGTGAGCAGTCCCAGTGTGCACATCTGTGCCTGCAGCTGCAGGGGTGTGCCTTCAGATGAAGTCGTCACCCATTTACTCTGGATAAGGGCAGAAACGGTTCACATTCCATTATTTGTAAAGTTACCTGCTGTTTGCTTTCATTATTTTTGCTACACATTTTATTTGTATTTAAATGTTTTAGGCAACCTAAGAACAAATGTAAAAGTAAAGATGCAGTAATTGCTTGGTATTCATTATTTCGTGTATATCAAGCATAGCAGTTAACAAACAAGAACCATGTATTTAACTTTGTTAGGTTTTTTTTTTGCTTTTGTGATTTTTCTTTTTGATACTTGCCTAACATGCATGTACTGTAAAAATAGTTAATGGGGAAATAACTTGAGATGGTGACTAGCTTTATTTAATGTCTTAAGAAATTTTCATGAACAATCTAATTGTTAAGAACATATGTATTAAGTTCATGTAAGTGGAATAAAAGTCTTATGAATGGAAAAAAAAGAAAGATATTGCTTTCTTATATATCCTCTTAAAATCCATCTTCTATATGTGTTTTACAGAAATATGAAATGATGAAGACAGAAGAGATACCCAATTTGGAAAACTCTAAGTTTTCTACTGAAGTCATAAAAGATATTGCACAGAACATTTTGTCATTTTTGAAACGTAATTGTACCAAAGAAGGACATACATATTGGCTCTTTAAAGGTAAGCTAATTCCTAAATGGACCATAACTGATTTGTGTAACTACTATAAAATAAGGTGTGTTTATATTTCTTTAACAGCAAATGGCAGTGAAGTAGTGAAGCTCTATGATCTCACTACTCTGTGTGAAGACACTAAAGACAAGTACAAGAACCCATTCGCAATGCCAGTGGCCATTCTCTTATATAAGTGAGTGCTTTAGGAATTTAAGATGAAAAAAAAAGAATTTAAGATGAAATGGTCTAACATAAAATTTTAAGTGTACAGCCACAGAACACCAAGAATGTTAAATACCTTTTAAATTTTTCATGTGAAAAAAATACATATAGACCTGGATATATCTATATCTATATCTATATCTATATCTATATCTATATCTATATCTATATCTATATCTATATCTCTATATATGAATACATTGTACCAAATGTTATTTTACTTGCTTGTAAAACCAGTATAAACTTTTTGGGGTGGGTTGGTTAAAACACAATGTTTGATTGCTAAAAGAAGAAAAATACACATGTTTAGTTGCTTCTTATGCCTCTTTTTCTTTATGCCTCTTTTTCTCTTGCAAAAATATGTGTATGCCTAGAGTTCAGTCTTGCTAAGAATGATGGATGAGGATTAAAACTGACATAAACATTTCTTTCAGGGTTGCTTGTTACATGATGAAGGAGAAGAATGAAAGTAAGGAACACTATGGGACAATTAGAACATTGCTCCTTAATTGTGTTAAGTTGCTGGATAAAAGCAGGCATCCACAGGTAAGACTCTAGTGTTCTGATAGAGAATTGTCTAAGTAATAAAGCTCCCTAATTCAATTCAACCCCGTCCATTACTATATGTGGCTACTGAGCACTTACAATGGACTTCATCTGAATTGAGATGTGCTGACAGTGTGACATACACACTGAATTTTGAAGAGTGTACGTGTACACAAATGTTGACTCTTCTTTAGTTTCCAAATTAAATATAATATTAACGGTAATTGTACTGGATTTCACTTTCTGTGAACCACTACTAGCAAGTTTAAAATTTTGTATGTGGCTTGCATTATGGTTCTTTTATACATTTAATACTCACATAATTCTAATAGTGTTACTGTTTCTTCTTTTGCCACTTTTGGAAGGTCAAAAGCTTGCGTCTTTTAAAAGGCCAATTTGTATAAATGGCTATCTTATCACTTTAGTGTAAATAAGGTTCATATTCTACAACCAGTTGAAATGTTAAACTATTTTCCAGCACACACTCCACAGTGTTACACAACTCTGTCTGAATTTGAAGAATGCATAAGTTCGTATAAAGCTAATTATATCTTGCTGAAATCGTGAGATGTTGTATGTAAGATATGTGTTTTTTCTTTAATTTTTCTGTATTATTAATCATAGCCACATCCAATTTAGAGGTAAAGATTATCCTAGAGACCATCCTCAGACACTTGTTTTTTTTTTTAAAGACAAATGGCAAAATAATTGTTGAGTGCAGTAGTAGTGTTTAGTGCTAATTGTGTAGCTTACGTGTAAGTCAGAAAATGGTATTAAGACTATTGAATATCTATGGTTAAGAATTAATAGATGATAGAGTGGTTTAAATTATATCTGTCTATGTATGTATACACATATATTGCTTAAATCATATAAATCATAAATCCTTAAATCATTATATATAAAAATTTTAAGAGCGATCAGGCTGGGTATGGTGGCACATACCTATAACCCCAGCACTCCGTGAATTAGGCTGAAGCAAGACAATCACAAGCTCTGTGAGGATTTCACAGAACACATTCAGGGTATTTGTAACTCTGCACCAGAAACAGTTGTGTGTGTATATGTATTATAGTCTACTGAACACAACCTATGTGCAGAACTCTTCTGAAAAATTGTTAGTATTGTAGTAAAATTAATTCCTCTTCAGAGATTTAAATATTTTTGATAGCAGTCACTTATGCATATTTCTCTTATTCTTTTACAAAGATTATTGCTTCAGTCAATTTCATGCTGTCAGAACTTTTTCAATTGGATGAGCCTAAAAAAGAAGAAAGTTCAGAATCTCCTTTAAATAAGAAGTCTGATGAAAGTCACAGTAAAGAGAAAGAGGAAATGCCAGACAGCAATGAAAACAGATCCTACAGTACCAGCTCTGCCCCATCAAATGATAGCAGAACAGTAGCTATAATTAAGTCTGTTGGAGAATTGTCAGTACCAGAAAAATATAAATCCATTCATCAGATCAGAGTAAGCATGTTAAAGTTTATCTTCTAGTTTTATCGGGGGAAATAAGAACTGTTGTTCATTGAATACAACTAGCCTCAGAAAAC